GTACTCAGGGTGCGGCGATTATTTCACTTGCCTAAGGAACGGGTGTGCTGCGCCCCACTTGCCTAGGGAAAAAACCCGGAATGTAAAGTGAGTGAAACTAAACTAGAGTGAAGTAGGGCAGCAGCAGCCAAACTCCAGTGCAGCAGCGGCGGCGGCGGCGGCGGTGGTGATGGGGCTGAGCACCGAGCGGCAGCGGCTAAACTCCGGTGCCGCCGCAATGATGGGCCCGTGCAGCGCTGCAGCTCGGCACCCATATAGCTGCAGCCGAGGCGAGGCCAGAGCCCGCTGCGGCCCTCCCAACTCCGCGGCCCGAGCCCAACTCCCCCTCCCGCCGGCAGGAGCTGCAAAGGGGCTCCGGAGCGGCCCCAACTCCCTCCAGTGCAACAGCAGTTTGAAGGGGGGAAATAAAGCCGCGAGGGCAGGGGCGAAGAGAAGCTTATGGGGAAGCACTGCAATGGGGGAGCGTGGTCCAGGCAACAGGAGAAAGATGCAACCTCAAGTCGAATGCAACATGCAATCCCCGGCCGCCGCTCGCCTGCTCCCTCCCCTCACCACCCCGCCCCCTTTCCAAATAACTACCCTTGAACCACTTTATTAGCAGTACTTAGTCCCACACTCGCTTTGGGGAGGGGCAGAGGATAGGGTCCTTCGTTCACCTTTATTTATTGCTGCTTTCTCCCCCCTCTCCATGTTTTTTATTCCTAAGTTCTTTTGTTCTAAGGGGGATGATGGCATTTACTTTTCTGCTTTGTGTAGCAGGGCAATCACTGGGAATCGGCCACGTATAATCCGGTGGTTTGTCATATTTTATTAGTGAAAGTATTTTATGCCTATTCTACCTCTAAGGACTGTAACATGGAGAACTGCAGGGAGGAGAAAAACATCAGAAGAATTCTTGTTTTGAGAGAATTCTTAAAGGGGCGGGAGGAGGGTCTCTTTTTTTTGCGGGGGGGGTGTTATTTCGATTTTTAAATCGATAGTTTTCAACTTAAAGCTGAATGTTTCTGGGTGGATATACTATTGGATTCTAAAATAACCTCCAACCACAATAAAGAGGGGGGGAGTCCAAAATCTTATATTTAAAAAAAAATCCCTGCTGGACAGTGTGATATTATCTGTTACGTGCAGCACACTGGACTTAACGTAGTGTTGGCCTTCGAATGTTAAATAACAATAAGCCCCAACCTCAACTGAATACAAATGGGGGGTGGGGTGGTTCTGTTTTTAAGGCTCAGCACTTTTGTAGCATCTGCCACTACGCATTTTCCAAGCATTGATTAGCCATGCAACTCCCATAGGCATGAAGTCCAGTTTTTGCAGATAAAAGAGCAACAGTGGAGAGATGATTTGCCCAAAGTCAAAGTGAGTCATTGACGGTACCAGAAATAGCCTTGGACTCTATATGTTACTAGTCCCATCTTTTCCATTAAATAGTATTTCCTCCAAGAAATAAACAGTATTTAAAAATAAACAGACTATCTTGTTATGTATTTCCACCAGAGGTGCTTTGAGATCCTTGGACACGCAGGCATTTTCTTCTGTGACCTGCAAAATTAAGTTCGGTTTCTCAAGAAAAAGCAATTAAAAAAAATGTGATATCTTAAAGCTAAAAAATAGAAGTATGGGCTTTATTTTACAGGTGTAGGCCATTTAGTACTCTGAGCTTTATGTTAAAAAAAACTCACAGCAGAGAAAATGTGTAAGAGTTTGAGATTGAAAATGAAAATCCCTATAAATGATTCAAGAAGCCTGGATGAACTCAAAATGTTGTGAAACTAAACCCATAACGCAGTCAGTGTGAATAACGGAAGGACTGGTTGGTAGTAAGACGCAGCTTTATCATCTGGAGATAACTCTAATGTATCTAAAAGATGAGTGAAGGCAGGAGCCTTTCAAGCTGGACCCACTAAGCACTGGACCATAATCTAATGGTGTCATTTCAAATCAGACCAGGCTGTCAAAATTTTTTCAGAGCAAGATTGCTTTAGTGTTCTTCCTGGAGGGGGAAAAAAAAAAGTTTAAAATGTTTCAGAATTTGACAGAAAAACAAATTCAGAAACTCAAATTGTGCCTGAATGTGTAAATGCTACAGAACAAGTGTCAGCAAACTTTTTTCTGCAAAAGCCCCGATAGGAAATATCTTAAGACTTTGTGAACCATGTAGTCTTCTTCATAACTTCTCTATGCAGTTGTAACACAAAAGCAGCGATAGAAAATATGTAAACAAAAGATCCTGGCTATGTTCTAATGAAGGCTTTATTTATGGGCCCTGACATTTGAATTTCATGTACCTTTCATGTGTCAGAAAATATTCCTCCCTTTCAACCATAAAAAAAAGAACATTAAAACGTTCTTAGCTCGGGGGTCTCACAATACCAGGGTTTGGGCAGGATTGGGCCTACAGGCTGTCATTTACCAATCCACTTTTGAAGACTAAAATCTCTGAACTTCTTGTACCAGGTGTTTGGTTATTAAGATGCTTGCATAGTAATCAAAATTCAATGCCATGCAAAATCACCTTTTAGATATTTACACTTAATTAAAATATTTAACTGAATAATTATCTAATTATTTGGTATCATATAACTACCAAACTCTATGAAAAATAATTCTCTAGCTTGTGAATCATTTATAGACCACGTTTCCATTTACATACTCTGCCCTCACTCTAAGATGGTGAAGAGGAGTGGAAGCAAGTGGACTTGAATTCCCACACCTAAGAAGTATGACTCCTTTTCAACTAAGGCACCTTGGACTAGTTGCTTAACCTTTCAAAGCCTCAGTTTTCCTATCTTGTAAAATGCAGCTATTAATACCTACTTTGTAGGGCTGTGGAGAAGATTGAATGAAATAATGATTCACCTAAAGTGCTTAGCACAGTGCCTGGCACATAGGACTACATCACACATTCTTTTCTGTGCCTTCAAATTCATTTTCTGAGTTAATGTAACTCAAGAGAAGGTGAACACGTGGAGTCCCAATAGTTTGTCCAGTGCCGATGTGGCACATGCATCCAAGGAGTCTCAGGGTGACTCAAGGTTGTGGGGTTAATATTGTGATACATTTCACTGGATCTTCCTCTAGCTCTAAGTGTACCTTTCCTGGGGCACTCAGTAGACACTACCTGTGTGGCCTCGTGCAAACACTTAGGCCTTCTGAACACTGGTGTTTCTCATACATAAAATGCAGATAATACTTTGTAGGATTTTTGAAGGGGCTAACTGGCATAAATGCTAAAGAAAAAAAGGTAACAATTAGTATCAGAGAAGATCCCAGAGATAAGCTGAAAACTGAAAATTTACCATCAGAAGCTCCTTTGAGATAAATTATTCAACTTTTTTTTAAACTGCCTTCCTTTTTTTATTAATTTATTTTTTTTAAATTGGGGGAGTAATTAGGTTTATTTATTTATTTATTTATTTATTTTTTAGAGAAGGTACTGATGATTGAATCCAGGACCTCATGCATTCTGAGCTTACACTCTACCACTGAGCTATACCCACCCCCATCATTCAACTTTTAGACATAATATCAGGTACACAATAACTTAGAGTTTGCTCTCCTATCACTTACTTACCCTCCAAAAACCATTTAATAGTCATCAAAACCTGTTGAACAAAGGTAAAACTCAGTCTAATGCAGAGATATAAATATAGGAAAAATATAACAGAAGCATTACATATTATAGTATCACATGGAAACATGTATTAGAGAATAAAGAAGTTTCTTCTTAATTTTTTTCTTTTGAAGTTTTATAGTAACATAGTACACACCATACGCTAGATATTAAGTGTTTTTTGTACTTATATTTCTATATAATTGTCAATGATATTCTGCAATTTGACAGTATTTCAAACAACATAATGAATCCTGCCCTCCTAGAGGACAACTTGAACAGCTTTCTCATCCAACTCCTCCCTCCCACCCCCAACCCCTGCCTGTCTTTCACTCAACCACTATCCTGTTTCCTACTTCAGGCTGAAAAGTAACCCCATTGTCTCTTAAAAGGTCACACTAAAGAAGATTTGAACACTGTCTGAAAACCTGAGGGTCCAACCAGGGAGGTAACTACTGGAGTTCACTGAGCCTTCTTTTCTAATTTTTATTGGGCTGGAATAAATGAAAACCTGGCTTGTACCAAAAAAAATTCTTAGGTAAGTAGAGGAGACATATCAGTGTGATTTTTAAAGAATTATGACAGAAAATCCCCAGTGACTAGTAGAAGTTGAATGTATGTTCTTTCTCTCCTCTGTCTCAATGGTTTCTGATCTTTTAAAAATCTCTTTAACTGTCTTGTGTGTTTATTTACTGTAAGCTGAAATTATAATTGTAAATGGATCAGATATAACTTGTAAATAAATAAATATTGGTGGAGAAGCAGTCAACCCTCTAGAGAACACCTTAATTTTGTTACTTTGCCATAATCTCCACCGTCAATTAAATCCTAAGCAGCTTCAGGTGTATGTGTTTTTTTTTAGTAGAATTGACTAGACCAGGGCTCCTCAACCTCAAGCTATTGACACTTTGGGCCAGATAATTTTTTGTTGTAGGGCACGGAAAGATATTTAGCAGCGTCCCTGGTGTCCACCCACCAGATGCCAATAGTACCTCCCCCACAGTTGTGACAATCAAAAATATCTCTAGACACTGCCAAGTGCCCCTGTGTGTGTGTTTATGGGGTGAGGGAGAAGGGTAAAATTGCACCAGGTTAGGGGTGGGGAGGTGGGGGGGACGGGGGATTTCAGGTAATGGGGGTTGAGAACCTCTGAACTAGACTGAACTCCACAGATAGATCTATCTGTATGTGTGTGACTCTGCCCTCCAGAGAAGCAGATCCTAATTCTTTTTCCAAGAAGAAATTGATGTGGATCAGGGAGCCTAGGCCAGTCTGTTGTTAAAAACTAAAATGGTTACAATTAGAGCTGTAGAAATGTTGCCTTAAAGCTGCTGAGCTGCTCCAAGTATCACAGGCAGATCCTCCAAGACTGGGTATATGGAAAGAATTTTATCATCTTGTTATTTGCACCTTTAGTTTATCTATTATCAACACAAATAAATTGTATTGTGGGCCTTGAGCAAGGATGTTATCTAGTGGAAGGCATTCCCAAGTTCGGAGTGTAAGAACCTGAGCTTGGGTCTGGGTTCTGCAAATGTCTAGCTAATCACTTTATCTCTCTGGGCCTATTTCCTTGTCCAAAATGGGGAAAACAGTAATACTTAATCCATTGGGTTGTTGTGAAGGTCCAAGCTGTTAATGAGAAGTAGCAGGGCTTATTCTCGAGGAATTAGGAACATTGGAACCATACAGTCCTGAGCTGACCTTGGGTAAATGATGCACTACTGTAAGCCACAGTTTCCTTATATGCAAAATGCACAGATAATCACATGACTTCAAGAGAGTTGTTATGGAGGTTAAATGAGACAATGTATGTCATATATGCTGGATAAATATTATTATTAGTCTTTGGTAAATTGCATCACATTGCACAAATACATACCATTTTATTGTTTTTTCTTTTCTGTCAACATTGAAACCTGGAAATCCCAAGAACTAATTGATACATCTATAAAACTGAGACCCTGTTTATATATATGTTACATCCCAAACTCCAACCCAGTTAAAGCAGCATTAAACTGTGGTGTGCAACCTTCTACCTTACAAGTTAAATCCAGGCACAGGTTTGTTGTGACAACATAAGGTTCTCCTCCCCTTATTGAAATAAGGTTCTAATAAGTTTTTTGCAACCTCTGTATCACATAAAACACATGGGGTCAGATATAGCATGCCCAGCTAGCACAATGTATGTCCATCCTGAACATTTAAATCTGACTACATGCTGTTGCAAAATTCACCTTCCCCCAAAGCGTTGGCAAATTGCACTGAAGCCCTAAAATGGGGTGCAAGGAGGTGTTTTCTAAATTAAAATATAAATAAGGGGATCTGAGGGTATTTTTTATGAAACTTTTTAGTTAAAGTGTAACATTCATACAAAGAAGCGCACCAGTCACAAGTCATACACATCAGTAAATTTTCACAAAACAAACACACCTATGTAATCATTGGGTGTTTTTAAAGGTCTGAGAATTCTGTAACAAATATGTGTTTTATCATTAAGGGTGTCAGAAAAAAGGTTATCCTGAATTTGAAAGAAAACAGAAGAGATTTTCCCGGACAAGATAGCAACTGCATTTGCTGTACAAATGTGATTTTGAATTATCATGTGGCAGTTTTGCAAAATGATCAATTGGAATCTGATTGCCCAATCATATCACCATTTACCACCTGATATATAATTCTGGGCAATTAACTTCAAGTGCCTCAGTCTTCTTATCTGTTAAATGGGGTTGATAATAGAATTGGTATTAGGATTAAATGAAATAACACTTGTAAAGGTTTGGATGAGTTCTGGTACATAAGCTTGAGTGTAAAATATTATCTATTTAGGATGGTGCCTCATGGGACTATAGGAAGGAAGTTACAGAGATCTCAAGAATTCTTTTAGAAAAAAGAAGAGTTTTGTACAGAAGAGGAGCTGGATCAGAATGGCTTAGGGGTGCTATCACTGAGCCCCAGGACCAGCAGGGAAAGAGAGTCTGTGGTAAAGGCTAGAGAATGAAGCCTGAGACAAAGCAGAGTCCCTGGAGGTGATAAACCAAGGAGCTGTAAAGATAGTGTGGTTCTGAACAGAAAGCCACAGGGGTGTGCCTGCCATCCAAACAGGACATGACCTGATTTTTCAGAGACCAGAGTAAGGTCTAGGAGTGATTGTTTGTTTGATGTGGGCCTAGAGAGAAGAACGAGAGAAGAAGCAGCCACAGGGATCATAATCCCAGGGGTCAGATCCTTGCAAGGCCTGTGCACTGAAGGAAGAAGACTCACTTAGGGCTTTATCCATGGCTAGGAGACTAGAGCAACTTAGAGTTTAGGAATGACCTCGGATGTATCTCTTCAGTCCTGCCATTCCTTCATGCTGAAATACGATGGAAGTGTGCACTGGGATGGACTAAGATCTTAAATGAGAGAAAGAGATACTACTAAAGATGAAAAGAACAGAGGCATGCAGAGTCTCAGGACTCAGACACAGCGGAGAAGCCTCCCTGTCTGGATGATGGTCACAAGGAGTTACCCCAAATCCAGTCAACAGCCTGATTTGTCACAGCTAGACCTCCGAGTGTCCTCATTTCTTCTTCATTATCTCAATCTTGTATATGGCTTATCATTGCTCTAAGGGTCTTTGAAAGGCGGCAGTTTGGTTTCTTTTTCCTTGATTGGTTGTAGGAGATGCATCAGAGTCTAAGAGTCAGCAGGACAATTTTGGTGACTAAATGGGACCCAGTGTGCTCACTTTGGGAAACACCTGTCACTGATGGGTAAAGGGTACGATACAACCAAGCCAAGAATGGCAATTCTGTGGCCTGTGCGTTTCCCAGAGCCTGAACTTGGCCTCAGAATCCTTCTCAACACAGTGCATCAGACAGCCATTACCAACTATTTGGAGCCTACTCCAGATAGAAATCCATTTTGTCATACCTGGACTTACCCCTCATCCCTTGCTATAGTAAAGCACCTATCCTATCCACTTCTCACCAAGTCCAATGCAAAGGGTATCAGATAGGTAATTTGCTTGGCTTCAACTCTGCATATTTAAATTAAGCCCTGGATAACAATCACCTCTCTATTTAGGGACCTATTCTCAGATTTCTGAGTTTATAACTGATTTATGACCTATAAATAGTCACATCAACCTCATTGCTGAATAATTTACATACTGAGGTCATGATCTCTGGATGAACCTGACACCCATTAGTGTTAAACTCATCATCCGTGTGCTTCCCAGCTAGAACACTTGGAGAGCCACACCCCAACATGGTGGGAGTGGGAAAGCAGAAGGCCTAGATTTTAGTCTTTCCTTTTAAGTCCAGCCAATTCCTTTCCTTTCAGCTTCATCTCTAAAATGGGATATTTCCCCACAGGTGGCAATGCTAAGAAAGCTATCCAAATGATGAATGTTTTTAAGGTTCTCAAAACTCAAAAACTTTGGACTCAAAGCATTGTATCCATAGATGTCTATTGATGAAAGCTGTATTCCCCACCAGGGCTAAACATTTGTGTTTTACACTTCATTACATGAAGAAGCCAAATCTTTTTTGCACTATGAAGTTGATGAGATGGGACAGAGGTTGTTCACTGCTTTTGAGCACAGTCCACTGTTGTTCCCATCTGTAAAATGGACACATCATACTGCCTTTTTCCCTCTCTTGGCCTGCAGAGAACTGAGGAGACAGAAATCACAAAAGACTGAGTTTACTGAAAACCAGTGTTGTAAGTGAAAGAGGAATTAATTAAATTTTAATTTAAAATAACACTACCTCTGCTGTTCCAGCATCTGGATGAGTGACTGAAACTAGAGGTGGTAGTGGGTTAGGGATTTGGGGCTAAGAATTGCATTGGTGGATATGGAAATAACACAGAGAAGTAGGGACCTGAAACAGCAATATGTCCTCCTAACTTATTGAGAGTGAGAATTAAAATACAAGAAGCATTTTCCAGTAGCCAACTGGGGACTTTTGACTCCCTGAAGGTACAGGGGTTATAAGTCTCAGGGCCACAAACACTTTATTTTAATACTACTTCCTCAATTAGCAGAGGCACAAACTTGTTTTTCCAAGTACATTGTGTTGTCGCTGTTCATCTAATAGAAAAGAAAAACTCATTCCAATTCCAATCTGGATGAAGACTACATTTCCTATGATAAACGTCAGTGGGTTGATGGGAACAGGCTCATTCCAAGCTGAAATGCTCGAACCTAAGCTTTGTGACTAACTGTGCCTAAAGACATCTCATTTCATCCTGGAGTGTCCTCGCCTCAGCAGCCTAGGCAAAACCGAAAAGACCACAGAGCAAAATCGACTGAGAGTATGACAGCATGAACGTGGAGATTTTATGTTCATCTGTTATTGGAACGTAAGTCAATTTACAAAACTGTTGTTTTAAGGGAAAATGATTTGGACTGTGTAATTGTGAATAACAAGAAGTAAACATGAACAAAATATGGTAGTGGATAATACAAGTGGGCCCCGCTTCCAATCTAATTTTAGATCTAATTTTTAAAATTAAAGTTTCTCATTTTTCACTTAAATTTATAATTTCAGAGAAATGTTATCCTCATTCCTGATTGGATTTCAATTGGAAATAGCTCCCAAAGTTTTAAATCTGAATTTCTCTGCCTTCTCAGGTGCATTTAGCTATTTGACACATCAGGATGTCAAATTTCTATGAACTTGGAATCCAGGTCCCAGCTCTGCTATATGCTAGCTGGACATTGAGAAAGTCACTGGCTTAACAGGTTTTAGTTTTTACATCTGTAACACAAAAATGTCTTATCATACCAGGATAGTTGGGGGAGTTAAAACAGGGATCCCTAAAATTTTCTTGATGAGTGTTTCTTCCCTTCATGAACACATACTGTTAATTATTAACAGTGAAAATAACAGCTGTCATTTGCTAAGCATTCTGGGCCAGATGTTTTGTACATACTTAAAATTTTATAGATAAGAATATTGAGGTACAGAGAGGTTAAGTAAATTGCCTAAAGTCACATAAATAGTAAATGGCAAAACTGGGATTCCTGCCCATGGCTACTTAGGTTCAGGTTCTGCTTTCTAATGGGAATTCCTGTGAGCTGGGAGGAAGGAGATATGGGGAAGTGCTAGGCTAAGAGATAAATCAGGCAAGGCTTTAAAAGGAATGAATGGATTCGAGACAAGGTCTCCAAAGTAGAGCAACTCACTACTCTTTGGCAAGAAGAGAAGTAAGTCTATTCCAAATAGGAAGACACATGGTATAATAAAATGTAGAGTTTGGAGTCAGAACGGCCTGGGTGAGAATCTTGTCTAAGTAACTATTTAACTGAAGGGCTTTGGGCAGCTTATTTATCCACTCTTAGCCTCATTTTTCTCACCTGTGAAATAGGGACAATAATACTTGCAGAGTTGTTTTGGTGGTTAGAAATAATCCATGTAAAGTGTCTTGCGCATGGTAGGCATACAATTTATGGCAGGCAAAATATCATACCCTTTTGTAAGTATCTCTGCAGCATTTCCTAAACTGTGTTGTTAGTAGACATTGGGTAAAAAAGGAGAAAAGATCAAAGAAATTTTAAGTGTGAGAACAATTTGGCAGGCAAGTAAATCTAGGAAATGCTGCTAAGCAAAGTTAAAGTGTTTCCTTACTGCAGGACTTCTCAGAGCCTTTAAATTGCAAAGATGCAGTAGAAATCTCCAAGAGGAAACATGGTCCTAATTTACTTGATGATATAACCTAATTTTGTCGTAAGTATTTTGCAGGACCAATGTTCCTGTGAACACATATTAGGAAACATTGGTCTGCTGAGTTTTGGAAGAAGCTGGGTTCCTCCGGTCCAGTCATTATGATGCATTTGCTATTTTGCCGTACCTCCACAGCCATGGAGAAGAGATTCTCCATTTATTTCTCCCTAAAATAGGACTTCTCCTTTTTACAAATGTCACAGAATGAAGCTCTAAAGAGTGATTTCCAGCATCCACTCGAGTGAAAAGTTCAGCTCCCAACAGGACCAGGCAACATCCACAAAGCAAACCAAGGCAGGCCCATGGGGCCATGGCACTATTGAGCCTCTCAGGATGGCAGGATACAGATGCTTCTTCCTGACTGCCAGAGAAGCTTTTAAAAAGTGCAGGTTACTCCACAGACCAACAGAGGCACTGGCATGGAGAAAAGAGAACCCATGTCACCTACCCAGAGAGTAAGAGGCCAGCCCATCCAGAGTGGCCCCGCTTAGGCTCCTGTCCCTGCCCTTGTCAAAGGCCAATCCAGCACAGAGAGGGGGAGAGAATTAAACAGAAGATCAGCTTTTTATTTTCATGTAAAAAGCACTTGCCTTCAGGTTATAAATGTTATTGCATTTGTGTAGCACTTTACTGCTGCCCTCAGCTTGCAAGCATCACAGGATCCCAGTGGCAGAACTTTTATAACCCTTGATCAATAGCTTATTTCTATCGCCTTCAGTCCGAGCTGCCAATCCGTTCTGTATAATGTGGGAGGCAGACTTTGCTGCTCTCCAGCTGTACATGTCATGAATGTAAACTGTGAGAGTAACATATGTATGTGCATTGAGGTGGGGACATGGGATTTTTGAATAAGGACTGATAAAAATGGTCCCCTTGTTCTGGGAGACTACCACAGAATTGAGAGTTTTCTTTCTAGTGAGTGCTTTTCTCTCTCCCTCTCTCTCTCTCTCTGAAACCACGTGCTTGGTATTCTTTGGTGGGTCTAGACAAATGAGACACGATTCTCTCTTTTTGTGTGTGTTTTTATTTTATGTATATTTGAGGGTGGTGGTGAAAAGTGGTGTGCGAAGATGAAGAAGTTCCAAGAAAGGGCCATAGCCGTCTTGTTCATCACCCCTCTATACCCAGCCCCTAGACAGAGCCTAGCACAAAGTAGATGCTCAAGAAATATTTGTTGATGAAATGAAAGAATTCCAGTTGGCAGTGGGAGGGGAGGAGGTGAGTCCAGGAACATTCTCCTGGGGCTGCCTTAGCAAAAAGCAAAGGACAAAGGCTTTATGTTGCCAGCAGCACTGGGAACCACAGACAGCTACTGTGTGTCTGCTTTATTTAAGGCTCGCTGCTAGGCACCACGGGAATGGCGGAGAAATCAGATCACTAAGTGTAACCAGCTTCTGCTGTGCTATTTTCCCACAGAGCGGAGTCAGTACGGCAACCCCTTAGAGGTCAGATGCCTCGCCTCACCTTCTTCCTCCCACTTCAGAAGCCAGTTTTAGGACCAATCCACTATAGGAGAGGCCTTGAAGCAGGCCCCCAAGGCTCCCCAACATTTTCCACCGCCAGGAAAACGACTCCGGCTAGCAGTAAGGCAGTCCAGCCTGCCCTTGTCTGAACCTGCGTCCTTGAGACTCAGCCAAACCTCTCCCAGCTTGGCGGAGGGATGTTGAGGTGACATTCTTCTCCCTGCCACTCAGCATCTTTTAAACAGTCCTCCTCCACCTTGGGAGAATATGCATGAACTCACTGCAGACGAGGACCACAGAAGCTGAAAACTCCCTGTCTCCCTGGGAGGGGAATTCATTGCAAGTGAAAACTAAGAATCTGAGATGTTTCTAAGTTGTTCTGAAGTTCTTGTGGTTGCCAGCGGTAGGAAGAAATCTCTGTCAGGCGGAGTTAGTGAATGAGGGACCTAGTTGGCAGGATGGAGTGTCTCAGGGGGCCGGATCAGTGGGCCTCAGAAGGACCTGGACTTGAGCCCTGGCAAGGGAGGGGAAGCAGGAGCAGCGACTCCCCACGTCTGCCTGCTGCCAGCTGCACTTGGGTTTCCTCCTGTGCACGGAGTTCACAGCGTCGGGGGCATGTGGCGGGAGGGGAGCAGGAGGTTGGCACAGGCCTTTTTGGCTCTGGACCACACTGCCTGTAGTGCACCATGAATTAATATTTTTAATAAATCCTGTAATTATCTTGTGAACAGAACATTTTTTTGTGGCACTATATTTTTTGGTGTTAAAAGCATTAATTTGTTCAATATAAACATTAAGAATATACTATTGGTTTTGTAACCTTGTTTCTTTATTTCTTAACGCACCAGGAGCCTCACAAAATAGAAGTGAGCTCTAAGGCTCCAACTAAGAGGTGTGCTCTGCTCTGTGTAGCCACTCTGAGTGGCCAGGCCAACTGAAGCCAGCTCTCAGGCCCTGTTCTGAATGTCTAGGAGAGACTACTCTGCTCCCCTTGGGCCAGAAGTTCACCCCACACAGTCCACTGTGATACTTACTGCAAGGCCCCCTTAAGGAGGCAAAAGAAAAGGGGTCCCTATGAGCTGGACAGATTGACACTCCACAATGTATCTACTATACTATCCTCTTGGTGCGCTCACCATGTGAAGATGCCAGGATGTTGGAAGTTTCTAGCTGGGCAAGACCTCAGGGACTGTGGAATCAGGGGAAGCTCACCTTACAGCTCAACTTTCATAAGTGTGCATTACCCTGCTTCCCCCCAGTCTTGTCTTTCTAGTCCATCACTATTTTTCTTGATCCTGATACTTTTTCTTTGTAATTTTCTGTTTTATAATATCTTTTCTTTTGAGTTGTTGCCTCAAATCCATTGTGGCTTGACAAAAGACCAAAAAAAATTAAATAAATGTGAGGGATTGTATTTAATGCCATCAAATCAACCTATCTTGTAGGCTTCTCAGGATCCTAGCTGTCCTCCAAGAGGACTTGGTCCAAGTTAGTCTTGGTTTGTCCATCCCTCCTTCCTTCTCACCTTTCTTCTTTCTTTTATTTTTCAGAGTAACATTTTTTTCTATAGAAGCAATACAAATATCTTTTAAAAATATTTTTAAAGAGGGAAGTATCACCAATAAAATCTAAATTATTCAGATTCCCACCAGCCCCCCTCCTGAGAGATAACTACTGTTAACATATTGGTGTACCAATTTCCAGGTAATTTTCAACAAAATTAGCTCCACTCTTAAAATAACCCTACTATAACATTGATGTGTATCCTATTTTTAAACAGCAATATATCGTATGTTTCTTTTCACATCATTGCATATTATTCTGGAAATGTTTTATTTCCTAAACTGGAATCCATTTTATTTTTTCTGATGTATAAAGTATTCAACCAATAGAGAAATTAATGTTCCCTTATAATCCCACTTCCTAAAGATAATCACTATTATTTAAAAAAATCCTGTTATTTATATGTATGTTATATATATAAACATATGTATATAACATAAATAAAATCATAACGCATAGTGTTTTGTAACCTGCTTTTTCCTACTATCACTAGATCATGAATATTTTTCCATGTCAATATTTATAGCAATGCATCATCCTTCTTAATAGCTACATAGAATTCCATTCCATCGAATGAATGTTCATAATTTATTTAACTAATCTCTTATTATTGGAAACATTTGAGTTATTTCCAATTTTTTTTTTACTATTCTAAGGCATACTGCACTAAACATCACTGTATACACACCTTTGTCACACGTCTGATTATTCCCTTAGAAACAATTCCTAGAAGGTAAATTGCTCAGAAAAATAGGCTACATCTTTTAAAATTTGATTCATACTAATGAATGGCTGTGTAGAAAATTGTACCAACTTACATTTCATCAACATGTAAGAGATAAGATGATTCTCCACACCATCTCCAGCATTAACCATTATCGCTCTTTTTTATCTTTGCCAATATTATGGCTGAAAATGATATTTTATTGTGGCTGCAATCTGTAAGTTTGTGATTATTGGTGAGGTTAAATGTATTTTTATATCTTTATTTGTCAGTTGAATTTAATTTATGAATTTTCTATTTATGTTCTTTGCCTATTTTATTTTATTAAAGTATTCTCTTTTTTTCTTGTTGGTTAGTAAAAGTTTTTTTTATTAAGTAATAGCCTTTATTGAGGCTATTAACCTTGACATCTATGTTGAAATTATTTTTTCTCACTTAGTTCATTGTGTCTTTTGCCATAGGAAGTTTTAATTTTTGTGTATTTCTGTCAGCCCTAGGGAACAGAAAGTCAAGTAACAGAGGCTTAAACCATAAAATATGAACTATATAATTAATCCAAAATCCAGAGGTAGGTGGTCCCGGAATTGGTTTTGTGATTCAGAGATGTCATCAGTTTCTTTACAGCTTTCAAATTTGCCATCTACAATGTGTTGATAGCATCTCCCCTGGTAAAATGAGATGGCTTCTACACCTCCAAATATTACATCCTCATGCTCCAATTAGGAAGAAAGAGGATAAGGACTAATTTTTTTTTTCATCTCACAGATCTGTTATCTCATCAGGAAGGAAAATCTTTCCCAGTAGTCCCCAGCAGATTTTTATTTACATCTCATTGGTAACCAGTAGTGTCTGCCAAAATAGTCAAATCTGTCAATCATTTCCTCCATGACTGATGGCTCAGTGCCATATTACCAAAGGCCCTTCTCACCCCCAAAATTCTTTTAAAATGTAGTCCAGTACCATCTTCTTGAATTTCCAAGTTTTTGTTTTGTTTTCTTAATTTCCAAATGTTTAAATTATCTGAAGTTTATTTTGGGGGGTGGTTTAACATCACTTTTTCCCTTAGGATATTCAGTGATGCCAATAACTTTTATTAAATAATCAGCACATTCCCCACCATATTGAAATATCATCTTTGTTATATATGAAGTTCCCCCATATTCATAGGCTGATCTCCATTATCTGTCTTTTCCTGCACTAGTACCACAATGTTTTAATCACTCTAGTTTTATAGGTCATTTTTATATCAGGTAGAACAAATTATCCTTTTTTCATTATTTTCCTGGCTAAGCTTCATTTGTTTACTTTTCTCCATAAACTTTAGAATTAGTTTAACTAGTCCCTTTCCCCTCCAACAAACCTTGTCTCTTGGCATTTTGATTGGAATTACATTAAAATTACAGATTAATTTTAGAAGACTTCACATCTTTACCAATATTTAGTCTTTCCCTCCAGGATCATGGAGTGTACCTCTCCATTTTTCAAGTCTTCTTTCATGTCTTTTAGCAAGGTTTTATTGTTTGTTTTTTCATAAATACCTATTTTTGTTAAGTTTATTTGCATCCTGTTTTTTATGCCAATTGTGAATGGGATCTTATAGGAAGAGCCATTCTTGCATTCCTTAAATATACCCTATTTGGTTATGAGTATTTTAAAATATTGCTTGAGTCAATTGGCTAATTTTTTCAGCTTTTATTCCCAAGAGAGTTTGGGCTATAATATTTTTATCCCTTGAAGGATTTTTATAATGAAGTTTGCAAGGTTTAAAAATGAATTAGGGAACTTGCAGTCTTTACCTTACTTTAGAACCACTTTATCCAATATAGTAGCCACTAGCCACATTGGTAACTGAGCACTTGAAAAGTGGTTACTGCAACTGAGGACCTAAATTTCCAATTTAATTTAATTTAACTTACATTTAAATTTAAAAACGGATCCTCATTTCAGTTACTGGAAACCTTTTAAGTATGTTTGGAACAATGTAGGTATGTGACTCTACTTTTCAACTGTAAATTTCATGAAACCTAAATCTTCAGAGATCAGTATTTCTTTCAAAAATTTAGCATCCTAATTGTATATGCTATAAGTGTAAAATACACACGAAAGTTCAAAGATTTAGCGTGAAAAAATAACTTAAAATATCCCATTAATAATTTTTATATGTTGAAATGATTTTTTGATATATTGGATTAAATAAAATATATGATTAAAATTAGTTTCAACCGTTTCTTTTCACTTTTCTATGTGGTTACTATAAAATTTTTAATTATATATGAGGCTCATGTTATATTTCTATCAGACACCACTGCTCTAAATTTTTAAATAATAGCAATTATCTGATCTTTAATATTTGCTAGCATTACACTTTTTTAATATCTACATGTCCTATCAAATGGATGAACTAAACGTATTTAATCAATCTGTCATTGTTGAATATTTACTTCTTCCTTCTATCTTTCTTTTTCCTTCCTTTCTTTCTTTCAACCATTATAAACAACTTCGTGTTTAACAAGTTGGTGGCTGTATCTTTGTGTAGAGGAATGACACAATCAGATTTGCTTTTTGAAAATCACTTTGGTTATACTGCAAAGAACAGGCTGGCCAAGACCAAGCATGGATTTAGCCAGTTTGGAAGCCACTGCAAAAGTTTTGGGGAATTGGGCAATGGGGAGATGGAAAGAAATGGGTGCTTTCCAGAGATATTTAGGACAAAGAGCCAATAGGATGTAGAATGAAGTGAATACCAGAATCATGGCATGGAAACCATCAAAAATGATTCATAAGGTTCTTGTTGGGGAACTAGAGGTTGGTGAGGCAGACACTGAGTTGGGAATACTAAAGGACGAGTGGCAGGAATCAGTTTTTGAGTTCAGGTTAGGAATGATGAGTTTAACTTGCTTTTGGGGCATTCAAGTAGAGATGTGGAGTAGATGGTCGAGAGCAAGAGGAGAGGAGAGGATGGAGATAAAATTTGGGAGTCATTGGTGTATGGATAAAATTTGAAGGCTGAAATGGCCTGAATGAGGTTGTCTGGGGAGAGATCGAGATCTGCGTGTTTTGGGGAGCAGGGGAGAGATGACTAAGACCAAACCTTGAGGACCATCAGTAGTTAAAGCCAGGTGTAGAAGGAAGAGTCAGGAATGGAGACCAGAGATGTAGAAGCAAAGCCAGCACAGTGTGGTGTGGATTGTCACAGAAGCCAAGGAAAGGGAATATTTTAGGGAGAGAGTATCAACAATTGCTTGAGAGATTAAGTTAAGATTTAAAAATACCTGTTGCTCAATCTCACTAATAGTCAGAAAATACAAATTAAAACGTAAGATATCACTGTTCAACCACCAGATGGTTAAGATTTTCAAGATTAATAATACTTAGTGTGGGCAAAGATAGGGGAAAGGGT